TTATTCAATAGACTGCTCAGCCTTTCCATTATTTCTAAGATAAAATAGAAACTTATGAGTTCCCTTTTTTAGCTTTTAAAGCCCTATACAAAATTTTTTTTTCTTGTCAGAATCATTTGTCTTTCCTAAATATATCCATATATATTTAGACAGTCAATTCATATGTAAAATTGCTCATGCCGTTGGTGTTTTTAAGTGCCCTAATAATTTAAAGTGACTTTTCAAGTTATTCTGAATGATTTTGAAAATGATTTTCTGAAGGAAGTTGACTCAGTCATTGTTTAAAATATCAAAAAGGAAGCTTGCAAAAGCATTTGATAATGTGTATGAAAAAAGTTCAAGAAATTAAGTTCAACATTTTTACATTAAAAAAAAAACAAACCCTATACAGTTTGGCCCCAACCAAACTTTTCAGCCTCATTAACCACGATTCCCTTTCCCACCCTCTGTAAAACAAACGAATTCTTCTTCTCTCAGTGCTGACTCCATGATTCTCCATCTCACATCTCTGAACCTTTGCACTGGCTGTTCTCCATACCTGGAAGGCCCTCTATGCTCACCTCTGCCTCACAAAAATCCTCCACTCCATAAAGATTCCAGTCAGGTACCACCTTCTTCTTGAAGCCTTATTTAATCCCCTCCCCCCCCCAAATACTGGTGTTTTCCTTTCCAAATTCATTGGAGTACAATTAAGCAAGGCTTGGAAGTGGATCTGTTATGTGTTAGTGATCATAAGAAAAGAATGGAAAGATAGGGAGGGAAGACCTACGGGGAGGGAGGAATTATCCTGTAATAAGGGTGCTCAAGTAGACATCTGTTCAAACAACAAGGGAGAGAGAATGCAGGAGCAGACCTTAAATTTCTGTCATTTGAATTTGTCGAAGGACAGAAAAATACAAACACAGGCAACACTCATTTCCTTTCCAATTTTTTCCTCAAGCACTCTCATTACATTTATAAAAACACTTTTAAATTCTTGCTCCATCTCTTCCAATAATTCTACGACATACAGCAAGATAGGAATTGATATAAAGCAAGGCTGAGTAAAAGAAAAGAATTTAGATGAAGTGCAGCTACATTTTAAAAACATTTAATTTTTTTTTAAAAAAGGAGTTTCAAAAATTCACAGAGATTTGGAGGATTCAGCAGTTTATTTTTCTTTGTTTTAAAGAATGATCTTATCATGTTAAAAAAAATGTTTTTGTGTGACCCTGGGCAAGTCACTTAACCCCAATTGCCTGAAAAAAAAATTTTTTTAATTTTTTTTACAAAAATGTATAGAGTTTTATTTGGATAACTTACCATATATTTGTTTTATTGGCTAGAAGGAAATGAACATTTATTAAGTACCTGTGATGTGCCAGGCACTCTATAAATAGTAGTCAGTCAGTCAAGAAACATTTATTAAGCATCTACTGTGTACCAGGCACTGTGCTAATCAATGAATCAATAAACATTTATTAAGCACCTACTATGTGCCAAGTGCTATACTGACAGCTGGGGGTTTTGTGGTTATTGAATCATTTCAATCTGTCCCACTCTCCAGAGGCCACTGGGGTTTTCTTGGCAGAGATACTGGAGTAATTTGCCATTTCCTTCTCTAGCTCATTTTACAGATGAGGAAACTGAAGCAAACAGGGTGAAGTGACTTGCCCAGGGTCACACAGCTAGTAAGTGCCTAAGGAACTCAGGTCCTCCTAAGTCGTGGGCCTATCGCACCATATGACTGCCTGGCAGCTGGAGATACAAATATGGAAAGAGACAATCCCTTCCTCAAGGAGCCTATAATCTAATTGAAAACACAACATGAGGGGCAGCTAGGTGGTACATTAGATCGAGCACAGCCCTACGGTCAGGAGCACCTGAGTTCAAATTCGGCCTCAGACACTTGATGCTTACTAGTTATGTGACCTTGGGCAAATCACTTAACTCCAATTGCCTTGGGGGAAGGGGAGAAGAAGAGAACATAACACAACACGAAAGAGGGGAGGGGGAATGGGGAAGGTACTCATGGTGGAAAAGTCCGAGAAGGCCCAAAATAGTGGAGCCAAGTGAGAAATGAGGAGATGTTCAGAGCTGAGCTCCCTCCTCTTTACACAAAAGTCTTGGAGTTCGTGGCTCCACCCTCCAACCAGAGCCTCATCTGATCCTCAGAGCAAATTCCTGTGAGGTATTATTTATTGCCTTATTAATACCTCTGAGAGGTTAATAATCCTTCACTATTATCCCCATTTTACCATTGAGGAAACTGAGCCAGGCAGAGGTTAAATGACTTGCCCAGGGTCACACAGCTAGAAAATGTCTAAGGCTAGATTTGAACCCAGGTCTTCCTACCTCCAGGCCTAGCTACTCTCTCCAGTGCTCCAGCTAGCTGCCCAGAGTACAGAGCTTGGAGTTTGGAAACCCTGGGCTCAAATCCTGATTCTGACACTCTTAACTGTGAGACCATAGGTAAGTCACTTAACCCTTAGGTTAGTCTCAGTTTTATCATCTGTAAAGCAGGGAAATCTTCAATACCTATTTCAGAGTTTATTTAAAACAACTCTAGACAGTATAAAATACCTGGGAGTATGCCTGTTAAAACAAACCCGGGAATTATATGAGCAAAGTTTACTGTTATCAGTTTCAAAAGACATAATATATGTAAAGGACTTTGAGAACTTTAAAGTACCATATAAAAATAAGGGTAATAATAACACCTCCCTCCCAGAGTTGTTGTGAGGATAAAATGAGACTATATTTATGAAGTATTTTGCAAACCTTACAGAGTTATGTAAATACTAGCAATTATTGTTGTTGTTAATTGAAGAGTGGCTGAGCAAGTTGTGATATATGAATGTAATGAAATACTATTGTGCTAGAAGAAATGATGAGCAGGAGGACTTCAGAAAAACCTGGAAAGACTTACATGAACTGATGCAGTGAAGTGAGCAGAACCAGGGGAACATTGTACACAATAACAGCCACATTGTACAATGATCAACTGTGAATGACTTAGCTTTTCTCAGCAATACAATGATCCAAGACAACTCCAACATGTTAATAATAATGTTGCTTATAATCACTATTTTTTAAAAAACTTGTGTGTATAATAGATGCAGGCTCTCATGGTGTAGAAGTTCCTGATAATTAGCTCTCTTGCATGTACCCGAAAAAAGGAAAGGAAAAGAAAAGGTGGGGTTGAGCTCCTCCTTTATAAGGGAGGCATTTTCTGAGAGCTGAAAGGCTTAGGAGCTGGCATCGTAGTCACAGAATGTCAAAGGTCACTGGGACCTTTGCAATATATAGCCCATTCTACAGATGGAGAAACTGGGGCACAGAGGGGTTAAGCTATTGGTCCAAGGTCATTCAGGTCCTAATAAACAAGCAGGGAATCTCTGAGAATGTTGCCCTTGGGCAACATTCAGAAAATTCCTCTTCATCTGCTCTCCCAGATGAACTATCTGAGCTAAAGGGGCCCTTTCGGATCACTTAGTCCAAAGTTCTCTATCTTGTTTGTACCATGGATCTCTTGGGCAGTCTGGCGAAGCCTAGGGACCCCTTCTCAAAATCATGTTTTATACTGCATTAAATATGAAAAAACATATATTGAAATATAGTTAATATCATTATATATTATACATATAAAAGAAACCACTTATATTAAAATAAAGATAATTTATTTTTACCCATGCAAGTTCACGAACCCCATGAAATTTATCCATGGGCCTTTTTAATAATAAATGTTGATTGATTGATTGACTTTAGGGGGCCCATGAGCCTCAGGTTAACAAGCCCTGATCTAGTCCAACACCCTTATTTTACAGATGAGGAAACTGAAGTCCAGAGACACGAAGTGATTTGTCCAACATACCAATGTGGGAGGTAGGAATCATGAAATCTGGTTTCTAGTCAGTCAGGTAGCATTTATTAAGTGCCAGCTACTACAGTGCCTGGCATTGAGCTCAACTGGGGATACAAGAAAGGCCAAAAAAAAAAAAATCCCAACTTTCAGGAATTCACAATCTATGGACTTTCTACATCTGGTGTCATGAATGAATGAATGAATGAATGAATGAATGAATGAATGAATAGCATTTATAAAGCACTAACTGTGTGCAAAGCACCCTGTTAAGGGTTTGGATTAAATTAGTCGTAAATTAACATTGTTTGCTTAATCATCTTCTGTGTGCCAGTGGCACAAAATAGTCCCTGGTCTCAAGGAGCTCACCATCTAATGGTGACCACACACTAGAGTGACTTCCAGCTCCAGACATATCATGACCCTATTCGATTCATGACTTTGGACAAGTCTCTTAGGAGGACCTCAGGTCCTTAGGCACTTACTAGCTGTATGACCCTGGGCAAGTCACTTCACCCTGTTTGCCTCAGTTTCCTCATCTGTAAAATGAGTTGGAGAAGGAAATGGCAAACTACTCCAGTATCTCTGCCAAGGAAACCCCAGTGGCCTCTAGAGAGTGGGACAGATTGAAATGATTCAATAACCACAAAACCCCCAGCTGTCAGTATAGCACTTGGCACATAGTAGGTGCTTAATATTGATTCATTGATTAGCACAGTGCCTGGCACACAGTAGATGCTTAATAAATGTTTCTTGACTGACTGACTACTATTTATAGAGTGCCTGGCACATCACAGGCACTTGATAAATGTTCATTTCCTTCTAGCCAATAAAACAAATATATGGTAAGTTATCCATCTGCAGAATAGGCGTAATTCCTGCACTGGATGATGGTGATGACGTAATGGTTGTGACAGTGCTTTGCATTAGCAAAATGAGCAGGAACGGAAGATGGGTGAACGTTGCGGGGCAGTTATAAAGGGTCAGAGCTCCCCTCTCCTCCCAGAGACTCAGGGTTATTAAGAAGGCTCCTCCTCTCCAGCTCCGCGTTTCTCCTGAGGTCTTGGAATGGCCCACGTGGGCCACCATCCGGGCAGCTGATACGGGGGCGGGACCAGCCCTGCGGCCGAGGAGAGTGGCGGCTCCTACTGGGAGGACGAGACTCAGAAGGCCGCCATATTTCGTAAGGCAGCTCTCTCCAGGCGGAGGGAGGACTGTCGGTGCTCAGAATCGGGGCTGGCTCCCCGGGCCGGCGACCCGTCGTGCCGCACATGCGCAGTGAGTGACCCGTCAGTTTCCTTGGTGCTGCCGGCTTTCTTCTCTGGGTGTTCGCACGTGTCTGCCCGGTGGAGTTTGGGAGCCCACTCGTGGGTACGGGTGGGACCGACATCGCGCTCGGGGATGGAGTCACAACCGCCGTTTTACACTTGAAGAAGATGAAGAGCTCTGGGTAATCTTGGCTCCCTTTTCTGCAGGGTGGGGGTCATCCAACCCCCTTCTACAGACTGGAAGAAACCGAGGTACTGGAGGAAGTGAGGAGGGAACTCGGCTAAGGTGACAGCGCTGGGATTCAGGCCCTGCTCTCAGTTGCCAAGTCGGAGGTGCTTTCCATGATGGAACAGTGTTCTCGACTAGGGTTTGAATCCCGAGTCTGCAATTGATAAGCTGTGGGACGGTGGGTAAGTCTCCCTCCCCTTCTAGGCTAAGAGGAAGAGGAAGACAACTTGTGCTAGACGATCTTGAGCCGAAGCTCTAGCATTCTCCTTCGCGACCTGTCCCCTTCCAACTCTTCCAGGATTCTTACATCTTATTCCCCTTTGAGTACTCTGTGCCTCCTCCTGACCTTCTGCAAGAAGCCTTTCCCAGCTTTCCTTAATATTCGCTAATTATCTCCAGTTTACTTACTCTCTTTCCCTCCCTCTCTTTACAGTTGGCACTTTGTCTCCACCATTTTGTCTCCAGCTTTTGTCTAGTTTAGCTGAGAAGGGGAGGAGGTGGGATGATTGTAGGGATGGTGGTTTTTAAGACTGAGGAAGACTTGGGAGTTTGTTGGTAGCCGGGAAGAAGCCAGGAAATAGCCAACAATTGAAGATTAGACAGAGTGGATTGAGAGTGGGACCCCTAAGCTGGAGAAGACAGAAGGGGATGGGATAAAGGGTCCCTGTGGAGGGGTTGGCCTTGGCAAGAAGGGCCTGCTCTTCATCCCAGACTGGAGGAAGGGAGGATCTAATGGGGATGATTGTTGAAAGGATATGAGATGGGGAGAAGAGGAAGGGAGCTCTCTGGGAATGGCCTCAGTTTTTTCAGCCTCTCAGTTGAAAGGGGTTGGAAAAGGGTTGGGAAGCTTGAGAAGAGGAGGTTTGAAACAGCCACCCAGGAGTGGGATAGAGAATCAATTAGGAAGAATTTTAAAGGATTGTCTTGTAGCATTGGGACAGCTAGGTTGCAAAGTGGATAGAGTGCCGGGCCTGGAGTCAGGAAGACTCATCTTTCTGAATTCAAATATGGCCTCAGACACTTACTAGCTGTATGACCCTGGACAAGTCGCTTAACCCTGCTTGCCTCAGTTTCCTCATCTGTAAAATGAGCTAGAGAAGGAAATGGCAAACCAGCTCCAGTATCTCTGCCAAGAAAACCGCAAATGGGGTCATGAAGAGTCAGAAAAGACTGAAACGCCTGAACAACAGCAAAAGCATGTAGCATTAAAGGCCCATCTGAGCTTAGCTAGCAGAAATCTGCAGTGGACCCAGTCTACAATTTTGTAGCCCCCTCTAGCTCTATTCAGTAGCAGCGGTAAGGGGGGTGGAGGCAGATGGTGGGAGCGATCCAGGGTTGGGATTAATCTCCCAATAGATAATGACTTTTCCCCTTGGATCACACATAGGTGACACTTTGTATCTCTCAATGCACTTACTCAGTATTAATTCTTTTTAGTTATTTTTGTGTCTTATCATAGACTTGCATTTCATGAGGGCAGCAACCAGAGCTTATTTAAATCGTTTCTCTCTCAAAGAATAGCACTGCTGCTGCCTGGGTTAGGTGCGTGATAGATATCTGCTGAGTGAATGAATAGGTGAATAAACTACTCGCTTCATTGTATGAGCCCTGCAGATGGACTCCTGTGACAGAGAACATTGCACAAGACAGATTTGGCTTAGGATTCCTTTTTACTCCCAATAGAGAAACACTCCTTGTTGCCCCTTCTCCGGGAGATTTGTGGCCCCATGAAATCTTTTGTGCAGGATCCTGCTGATCAGAGAAAGAAAACATGTCCTTCTTATCTTTGTTCCACAGAAACTGAGACCAGAGAACTGGTCACCAGCCTACACACAGATGGATTTCCCTGACAATCTCTTTCCCACGTTCTTTTTGCCTGGCCCCCCTGGCCTGAGTGATTCCCCCGGCTCCTATCTGGCCCCTGCTTGGAGTGACTATACGCAGCTGCTGAAGCCGCCCCAGACCCAGCATCCATCGGTAGGAGCGGCCCCGGGGCCTTTTCTGGGGAGCTGTTGTCTGGACAGTTGTTAGTTGGTACAAACAGTTCTATTCACTTCTGCTTGGTTACAGGGGTGTCTGATGTCCTGGGTACCCCAGAGATTTGACTTGGAGAGCTTTCCCTGTCCCCGATTCCATAATAAAAAAGAATAACATCACTTGTGCTCTCTAAAAGTCATCGGGATCATAGATTTGGACCTGGGAGGGCCCTCTGAGACCATCTTTTCCAGCCCCCTTATTTTACAAGTAAGGAATATGAGGCCTGAAGTCACACAGCTGCTGAGTGGCCCACTAAGTGTCAGAGCTGGGACTCAAACCCATCACCGGCTCACACATTCCTGAGAGGGGCAGGAAGTGGTCTCGGTGTAAAAGACTTCACCTAGCTCAGCAGGGGTCATTTACGAGAACTGAATGGGTCCTAGGCCTCTGGAAGTACAAGGGACTTCAGAGGTCATTGAGCCCACCCCTCCTCATTTTACAGATGAGGAAACTGAGGCCCGGAGAGGTAAGAAGACTTTCCTCAGGTCACACAGGTAGTAAGCAGCAAAGATGGTGCTCTGACTGCAAAGCCAATGGGCTCTCCACCATACCACACTCCCCCACAAAATGGAGATTAACTTTGATGCTACTGGAGTCTTTCCTTGTCTCCTAGGTTAACCCACAGCATGAGGCATCTTATGTGACGAAGTGGGGAAGATGGAGGTCTGACACTCCTGGGCCCCTGCCCTTCCTGCGCCCCGGGGCTGGTGAGGGGTCCCCTTTTGCTGTTTCTGCCCCAACCCTACTTGCTGATTTCCAACAACCCCACCCCCCCAGCCAAGCCCTCCCTCCTGGAACCCAACCTAAAGCTTCCTCTATAGAAGCTTCATTTAGCAGCAGCTGTTTGGACCACAGGCTCTCATCTCAAAGCCCAGCATTGTCAGACATACACATTTCCGATCACGGACAAGGGATTAGAATGATTCTCCTACCAGGTTCCTGGGATTGCCTTTTAGACTTTTATCTACCTTCTTAGCACGTCCTCCTAAATATGTTCTCAGATTTCCCGCCCAACCCAGCTCCATTTGCCAACCTTGGGCCCCTTCTCCCTCATTTTCCCTTCAGACCCCTGGGACCCTGATCTGACCTCCCGAGATCTGCTCTTCCAGGGGAGACTGAGGCATCCATTTGGGGCCAAAGCGACGATAGATGTTATAGATCAGGTTAGTGGGCATTGGGTCTTTGGAGGGTTACTCTGGGCTGTGATCTTGGCGCTTGCGATCTGTGGTCACTGTCCTTGTGTCTGCCCCCATCAGCTCAACCAGTTCTTGAGGGATCACGGGGACATTGCCTTCGGGCCCCTAGGAAAGCTGCTGCAGGAGAATTTTAACCTGGGAGAACCAAAGGTAAATTTGCGTGCTGGACAACTGATAAAAGTGACCCCCAGTGACACAGGGAGGTGATGGCAAACTGGCCAGAGGCTAGAAGTGACTGAAGCTTTCTCTCCAGAAATCCCGCAAGGGCAGGACGGTGATGAATGCGGAACGGTTGCTCCAGGACCTCAGTGGACACCAACCCAAGGGGCAAGTGACCCAAGGAGAAGAAAAGGGAGGGGTGGGGGGATGGCATTAGTCGAGAAGCAAGGGTTAGTCAAAACTGGGTGGTTGTAGGATTGGGAAGATGGGAGAGTTGGGAGGTAAAACCAGAATATCCCCCCACTATCACCCTCCCGTGCTAACTCAGTGGCTACAATGGAAGCCCTGGAGTCAGAGGACCTGGGTTCAAATCCCAGCCCTGACATGTATCAGTTGTGTGACTCTGGGCCTTAATTTCCTCATCTGTAAAAGGGGGATAATAATCCTTACACAACCCACCTTGAAAGGTTGCTGTTAGAAAAGTGCTTTGTGATCCTTTCTGTGTTCTGGAAATGGTGATCTGGTATTATTTTTAATGGGATCTTTCCTGTCCCAGGTGCCCCTGGGCCCACCTGAGCGCCCGTCAGCGACGATTCTCCCTCCTGGGGGGCACAGTGCTGGGTGAGGAAGTGGAAGGTCTGCTTGGGGGGCTGCTGCATGAGGAGCTGGAGACCCGCTGGAAGGAGCTGCTGCTGGATGAAGCCTCTACAGGTGGGGCTCTCGCTTGGGTCCCAGGGGCCAAACCCCACGTTGGGCAGCTGGTCTACCCCACCGGGCGAGCCTACAACCAGCTGAGTATCCTTCTGTGGGAAGGAGGGAGGAGCCTGGCTTATCCTCTCTGGCCAGGGGCTTATACCCTGGTGGGGGAAGGAGAGGGGTACAGGAAGCCTGGGAGGGACCAGCTCTGGGGCTAATGAGTCTGAAGTGAGCTGGCCAGAATTTCAGGCTCTAATAAAGTGACTTAGAAGACATGGTTTCAAAGATCTTTTCTAGACCTTGGTCTTAGACTGCCTTAACTAGCTGCTCAGACTTCCAGAAGGTAAAACTGTCCCCCACCAGCGAGCCTCAGGCCCTTGGGGACCCAACTCGCATCTTGCTCCAGGGACCAGTCCGGCAGGTGGTGACCCGCACGGTCCAGGAGGAAGGTGAGACCTGTAAACCTCTTGTTCGGTGGCCCCATTTTCCACCCCCAAGCCTGCACTGATTTGGCTTCTGGTGTCCCTTGCCCCCAATCCCGACCAGTAGAGAGTGGGTCTGTTTTCAGCTAACCCCTACCCTCTCCTCAGCTCTGGTGGCTGTCCGCTCTGATCATCACTGTGCTGTGTGGCAGGTCAGTCGTCAAGGGCATCCCGAGCCCCTGCAGGTGCTGAGTACAGAGAAGGGAGCCACAGGGATCAGCCTCAGGTGAGGTGGGCTCCTGGGATGTGTCCCACAGACAGGAAAGGGGATGTCCATGCTGACATCCCTCCCTCCCTCCCTCCCTGCAGCCCTCATCTTCCCGGAGAGCTGGCAGTCTGCAGTCGCTCAGGAGCTGTGTGTCTGTGGAGCCCCCAGGATGGGTAATGTTTACCCCGGGTCAGATCTGACCAGCCTCCCCTGACCCCCTGCTCCAAAGGCTTTCCCAGGCCTGGCTGCCGTCATCCTCAGTCAGACATAGCCCAAGTAAGCCTGGGCATCCTAAATATACCTGTCGTCCTGTTAGCCAAGAAGAGTGAGGCACATTTTCCTTCTCTTCCCAAGGCTGCAGCAAATACACAAGGACCCTGAGACCCTTGTCTTTAAGGACCCCTCTTCGTGGCGCTGGGCAGACTTCACCGCTCACCCCCGGATGCTGACTGTCGCTGACCGCACTGGAGTCAGACTCACAGATGTTCGGGTATGGGGTAGGGCTGGCAATTCTCACTGACCGCATAGGGTATCGGGGATGTCGATGGGGGCGCAGGCTCTGGGGCACAGGGATGTGACTTCTTGTCTGTGTCTCTGACCTCAGGGTCCCTCAGACTGTGGTGAGCTCCTTTTTCGTGTAGGGGCTGAAGCCTCATGTCAACAAGGGGAGCGGATCTTACTGGCTCAGTACTTGGGGACGTCCAGTCCTCTCTCCCTGAGTCCCACCCTTCATCTCATCTGTACACAGGTAAGTGAGATTCCCCCGTGCAGACACTGTGGAGACGCTTTCCTCTCATCCCAATGGCCCTTCTCCCGGATCCGACCTCCCCCATTCCCCAAAGTTCCCAGGGCATGTACATCCAGAGTGGGTGCTGCCCGCCTGACTTGAGCCACCCCTCCCCCAGTTCTCTCTCTACCTGCTGGACGAGCGTTTGCCTCTTGTACCAATGATGAAGTGGACCCACTCGCTCATGTCTCCTCCGCTGCTGGCTCAGCTCCTGCCCCCACCTCGTCCCGGGGCGCCTCTTCCCTTGCTGCTCGGAGGACGTGGGGGCCATCTGCGCATGCTGCATCTCTCAGGTGAGGCCTGGGGCTGACGCAGGAACCCCACGGCGGGGCTCGGTGCTCGGCCTGGTGTCTCCGGCCCACCCCTCACCCTCCCGTCTTTCCCCAGGAGGGTCCGGTTGCAGCCCTCAGCTGGTGGCACCACCTCAGTCACTGCCTTTGCTTAGCGACTCACTCCCTGGCTTTCCTGTCCTCGAGCCACATGGTCAGCAGCTGCTGCAGGACCGTCTCAAGGCTCCCCTCACAGGCATGTCAAGGGATGTGCTGATGGAGGTGGGAGGGCCAGAGGGATCGGGAGAAGGATGTTGCGAGGTTGGTGGTCTGCTGTCCAAGTCTGACAGCTCAGGATTTGAGGTCGTCTGCACTGGTCTTTCCCTAGGCTTGACTGCTGTTGTACCACCTAGTTGTCCCAGTCCCACCATGCTGCTGTTCCAGCTCTCAGCCGCCGGAGACGTTTTTTATCAGCGCCTCTGGCTCCGGCCAGACACCGCTGCCAAAAATGCTGACTCTCTCCAAAAGAGTAACTCTTCCGCTGACCATGCTGATGACCCAGACCTCGATTCTCATGACCAGACCTCTGCTACACCGTCCTTGGACGCAGCTCCTGACCCCGGTGCTGTTTCCTGGAATCCCCGGGCTGCTGCGTGCTGCCGCCGTTGGTTGAAGACCCTGCTACGGGTTCCCCCAGCTCTCCCCTCTTGGACGCCCCCTACTTTCTCCCAACACTATCTCCGATGGTTGAGGGAGGAAGACAGAGGTAAGGTCCGAGAGGGCCTCCAGGCCGCCATGACTGAAGGCCGGCTGCTGCAACAAGGGGACCTGGGCCCCCTCCCTCCCTCAGACCCTCCCCCTGCACATGAGCCCTTTGGTCCTGAGGACAAGTTGACTGAACGTTTGGAAGCCTCCTGGGAGGGGAAGGGAGCCATTTGGTGGGAGAGCCAGCAAGGCGGTAGCCAGGTGCCTCGAAAGCGGCCGTCACGGGAGAAGAGGCGGACCCAGCTCTCCAGCTCTTTCTCCTCGGTCAGAACCACCTCTGACTTCTCTGACATCGACAGTCGCCATGAGACTCCTAGCCCCCTCCACAGGATGTCTGAAGCTTCTCAATCTCTGGAGCTGTCTCAGGAGCCGTGGGCCCGGAGTGTACCCCGTGAGCGGCGACAGACACTTCGAGACTATCTTGCGGTCCTCCCTTCTGTAGACTCAGGAAGCTGCTCTACCCCCCAGTCCCAGAATCCAAGCAGCCAGACCTTCCTCAGCTCTGAGCCGGGGAGGTGCTCAGTGCCACGCTCCCAGAATCCAACGACCCGGACCCTCCTTTCTCCCCACCCAGGGAGCTCCTCTGCCCTCTGCTCTCAAAACCCAAATAGTCAGAGCCTCTTCTCCCCTGACCCAGGGTTCAGCTCTGTATTCCACTCCCAGAGTTCAAGCATCCAGAGCCTTCCCTCTCGACACACTCCTTCCCTTGCAGGCTCACAACCACTCAAGAAAAAACCCCGCATGGGCTTCTAAGGACTTTTGTGGATCCTAGGATCCCCAGAAATCCCTGGACTTCCTAGGACTGTAGCTTTAGGCTAGAAGGAATCTAGACCAGCTTCCTTGTTTTACAAATGAGGAAACTGAGGCCCAGAAAGATTTGCACAAGTGTTAAAGATCATTACCCAATGCTCCCTCCTCTGTTACCCTGCAGAATTGACAAAGTTGACTCTGTCTGGCTCCACTGTTGGGGAGTTGGACCAATCTTGGTGTTCAGGAAAAGTTTTCAGCTCACTTTGCCTGGAAAAGTCCAAATGTGGCCCATTTTCTTTATAATACTCTTTGAGTTCATGGAAGATCACTGGAAGGCACCCTACCCTCTCTTTATGCCCTGGTTCTGACACTTTCTCGCTGATTGCTGGAACTAGGGTCAGTAACTATACCATTTGGCCTTGGGTATTTCTTTTTCACAGTGGCCAAAGCCAGATAGGGAAGAGTCCCCCAGGGGACACACGGACCCTCTGCAGTTGGCCATGATATTGAGCATCATGATGCCAATGAGCCAGTGCATGAAGCTTTTTAAAAGGGTGGCACTTAGCCTCAAGCAAAGTCTCAATTTCACCAGGGAAAATAGATATCTTTGAAGGAGGGACTTTGAAGGCCAGGCTGAGGAGTGTGAATAAGAAGCCAACCCTGAGGAGTGTGAATGAGAAGCCCTCTCGCAGCTGCGGTTTCAGGTTTCTCCATTGACATCAACTCAATTTCCAAACTCTGAAGCTTTAAAATTTAAAATTTTCTATTGTTCACTAACTCCCTTCTTCAAAATGACCTGCTAATCCCTTCACTGTGACCTTCCAAATGAATACATAATGGAGACTCAGAACTTCCCATATTCCGACTTTCAGATTTGGCCAGCTAACACAAGCCCATGGATCTCCTTATGTATCTAACCTGACCATCTATACTCTTGGACATCACCAGAGACTGATAACAGGGAAAAGCTGAGATATGCAGGGGGCTGTAACTTAAAAGTATAGAATTTTACTTGGGGGGGAAAAGGTCTTCATTATATGAACATATAATGCCTTAAAGAAGCCAAAGGAATGTAAATGAAAAACTAAGTTATGTTTTTGTTATCACATGGAATATTTTGCAAGCAACTGACTGATGTACCAAAAGACAGAGATAAAGACACTTCTCTGGAAGAAAAGTATAAGCTGAGTTTGGGGCAGGAGGAACCCTTAAGGACAGAGTCCTTATCCCTATTTATATTTCTCAGTGTTTTCTACATAAAAAGTACCAAATAGATATTTGCTGATTAATGCCAGGGCTGGTCATGTAAGACTTTTTTTTTTTAAACAAATGATCTGATGAAAGAAACTCCCAAGTAACTACAAAATACATAAAATAATTGGTATATAACATAACACTCTATATGGCTAAGGACAAATAATTGAAGAGTTAGTTCATCATTGGACCATTCCAATATAATAAAAATTCTACTTAGATTACAGATTTAATGCAATTCCAATCAACTCAAAAAGGCTCATCTTTGATGAAGTCCAATAACCAACCTTGGACAGATTGTGCCGTCATCTCGATCGAGAGATTGGGGACTCTGGGCTTGGAACGTTGCCTATGTGCTGTGTTGTTTGGTTTTGCTGATCTAGTTTTTCTGTTGTGGTTGTTCCCCTATCAGGGAGAGGGGAAGGGGGAATGTGAGAGCCCAGAGTGGGAATAGGGGAGAGAGCCTGAGAGCTGGAATCAAACACTGACCTAATCCAGGCAACTTGAACAAGCAGCTACCCTCTCCTCCAAGAGGAAAAGTAATGGAAGGGGGGAATTTCAGAGGAAGAATAGTGGGAAATAACATGGAAAAAGCCAAAGGAACTGATAAAACTTAAAAGGGAAACCCAGCAACACATGGATGCAACTACGATAATGTGAATTGAAGTAAATGTTTTGGTAGAGAGAGGCCCCGACAAAATCTCAAAGCTAGTAGAAAACATTCTAGCTAGTGAAATGCCAAACCCAAGTGGAAAACTACAGAAAGAATTTGAAATGCTCTGTGTGTAAACTGAGAAGTAACAAATGAGATTCAATGCAGGCCAGAATAAGATAATAGCCAACTACCATTATCTTGCTCTGTCTTTGAGCAAGTCAAAACATTTTATTTTAGGTCATGTTTCTTTACCTGAACAAAGGAGTTGTAGATCTTCCAAACCTGTACTCTGCTGATGGACTCAACCTTTATTCAGAAATGAACTTAATGTTAACGATAGCTAGCATTTATTATATTATTATGTAATATATTATTATATATTTATTATAATAGATCTGAGTTCAGATCCAGCCTCAGATATTTGCTGGCTGTGTGACCTTGGGCAAGTCAGCTAACCCCTATCTATTCCTCATCTGTAAGCAGGACCCACTGAAGAAGGAAATGACAAACCACTCCAGTGGTTTTGCCAAGAGCTCATGGGGTCACCTAGAGTCAAACACGACAGAACAACAAAAACATTTATTTAACGCTTTATGGTGCACGATATGCTATACATGTGTCTCATTTGATCCTCACCAACCCCTAGGAGGTAGGTGCTCTTATTATCTCTACTGTAGCAAGTGCTTTGCTGAACCAACTGGCCTGAAGGATGGAGGTGATATAGGAGTGTGACCTCAGATGTGGGAGGGAAATGTTTTGTAACTTCTATTTTTTTTTTCAGCCAAAGACAAGGTTTATTAGAATTTCCTTCATATTGGGCAGACACTTGAGTCTGAATGTTAGTGAGCTATTAGCTAGATTATAAGAATATGAGCAATGGCTAGATTGTAAGAATCTGAACAATTTAATGGAGACAAGATGAACTTTATATACATTAAGACTACGGGAGGAATCTAGGAGTGGCCAAGTAGTCTAGGAGGTAATAGAATTCCAGACCTGGACCGCATAGCCAAAGGAGAATGGAGAAGTGGCCTGGGGCCATAGGGAGGTCCACAATGAGAGGCCAGTTGATGGGATTATAGCCTCAGGGGAACGCCAGAGATTTGGCCATGTGGGAAAGTCCAGGATTTTTCCTTTTTGGGGTCTAGATCCCATCCTTATCATTTCCCCCTCAAACAAATGGGACCCAAATTCTTTTGGGGTAAGGGGTGAAGGTCTCGGCTTCTGAAACTGCTTCCTGCTGGCAAGGGGCATAGAGCTATCCCTGCCTCGAGGGGGTCCCAAAGAGGAGGTTGCAACCGAGCACAGGCTGCATCCAGGGAATGGTGGGGGGGACATTGGCTGGTACCCGCTGTTTGCTACCAACTATAAGTGAATGACCTGTAGTCTGGAAGACACGAATCTGACAGAAAAAACTGCAGGGCCCAGATATAAAGCAGGGACTAGATTTAGGGTCCAACTTTGAGAGGATAAAACATCCTTACCTCTGTTTGAATTCAGATAATTCAGTTTTCCAACCATGCAGTAGCAAATCATTCTCATAGCCTCATAGGGTAACATTCTTTTTCAAAGGAACATAATGGGGAAACTGAGCCAGGAGGATCCTATTTTAGACTGAGGCTAAAATTGTCCTCTCAGCTTTTCCCGATGCTGACTTCCCACCAGTATCACATTCTCTGAGTAGCTTGTGGCATTTCTTTCAGATGGTGGATTATTGATTGTCAATGGATTATGATCCATCAGACAGTTCAATAAAACCATGAGTTTTTTACTTCAAACAGCAAGTTTCACTAATCACAGCTTAGGAAACTTTTCCAGGATTTACATCTTAAATTTAAATTTGTCCTGGTGTAAAAAGCCAATCATTAGAGATTATTTCTATATATTTGCAAATTCTGAGCAAGACAAAACCCAAACAAGCTTTTTGGCAAGTTTGCACATTAAAACAATAACCAACAATAGCCAGATTGTTTTAGCGGTAACCAAATTATGAAAAGTTGCTTGACATAATTGATACACAAAGTTCACCAATTTGAAACTTGAAACGGACCCATTACCAATCAGGTGACTTTGGTTTTGTTAAATGCATTTCCAAATTACTTTACACAGAGAATCAACATCTCATCATTAACAGTTAAAACTACAACTTTAAAAGAGTATGCTTACCCAAGTTCGGGGGCAAGCTTCTTTACCTTGAGCAGGATGTGCTGAACCTGGGTGATGCTTCCATGCAAAGGTTGCCCCAGGGCTCAAGGCCATTGCCAGTGGGGCCCATGCTGTAGCTGCTGCCTCTCCCCCCTCCTTTTCCCCAGGTTGGGGAGGGTGAAATCAAAGTGAGGGGGAGAGGGTGAAACTCTTTTCTCCTATGAAAGGGGTTAACAGATACCCTCTTATTCAAGGGAAGGGAGTGACCAGGGTTGTAAAGAGGTGTTTCAAAACTCCCTTAACGATCAATCACAAAACAACCAAAATCTGCCAAGATATTTTTAGCTGTTCTAACTTGTCCCTATAACCTCCATGAAGGAGGATTCTGGAGTGTAGAAGGAAGGGAGTAAGTAAGCCTCAGGGAACTAAAAAGCAACTGCAGTTTTCCCTAATTCCCTAGCAGCCGCATAGAGAGAGTTAACAGAATTGGGCATACTTGGGCATACACTTCCCTGTAGGGCATCCATCCTTGTCCTCTATGCTGTGGAAGGTGTACCCAGGTCCACGGCCTTGAACTAACCCAGTGGACCGAGAGCCTGGATGCTGGGACCCCAAATCAGAACATGTGGGTCCTGCCCAAAAGAATTCGACCCAAGCTTTCTTTCAGTCAAAGACAAGGTTTATTAGAACATCCTTCATATTGGGCAGACTCTTAAGGAGTCTGAATGTTAGTGAGCTATTGGCTAGATTATAAGAATCAGAGTAATGGCTAGATCATAAGAATCTAAGAAGTGGCTAGATTATAAGAATCTGAGCCTGTAACTTCTATTCTTAATACATCTCAGTAAATATACCTTTATAAAAGCTAATTAGTAATAATTGGTTATAAATCTCAACCTCAATAGAATGTAAACTCCTTGAGGGTAGGGACTTTTTCACTTTTGTCTTTGTATCCCCCAGTGCCTAGCACTGTGATGGGTTTGATTTAGTAGCTTCTGGCTTCTAATGCTCAACATGGTGTCTCAGATTTTTCTTTCTATAGCAATAGTGAGTGATTCTTCAACCTAATCAAGTAACAGCTATTCGATCTTCTTTAAAGAATTAGAACTTCTAAAAGGAGAGGAATCATTATTCAATAAAAATAGTCAAGAAAATTGGATAGCAATATGACAAGAAATTGGTTTATAGCCATACATCATGCCACACATTATAATAAATTCTGGTTGGATGTATTCTATAATTTTATCAGTCATAAAGTTGGAAGAAAAAAGAATAATAAGGAAATAAAGAGATAGTGCCAGAGCTGAGTAACAATGGCCGTGAGGAAGTGGTGTCCTTAGCTCTATCCTGGATTTAAGGAGCAGAGTTGGAGAAAAGTGGGCGGGATAATCACAGCACCTCCATTCCAGGGTGGTTGTGAGCATAAATGAGATTGTTCCTCTGTCCCTCTCCTTTCCTATTGTGTGTGGTCCAGATGAGAGGCAAGCAGTGAAGGAGATGGTAACAGAGTTTTGAGAGAGGGGCATGTAGCCCTGCCATCCCAATGGATTGGAACCAGGCAGGGAAAAATTTGCACAGGTACCAAGAATGGCTCCTATGGGACAGTAATTCTCACTACATAGACAAAATGGGTAATTATAAAAAACAAAATAATTTTATAATAGGAAAAGCAATGCTTCCAGAGAAAAAAGAAAAGAAACTGAGAAAAATAACTATTAAATGTCACAGATTTTGAGCAGGAGGAGACCTGAGAAGTCATTTAGTACAACCACCTCATTTTATAGATGAGGAAACTGAGGCCTGTGGACCTTAAGTGACTTGCCCAAGGTCACAGAGGTAGTAGATGATGGAAGTGAGATCTGAAGCCATTTCCAAATCTAGTGCTTATTCTACTGTGCCATACTGCCTCTTCTGAATCTTGATATCCAGAATCTCAAAAGTACCCAACTGAAATTTATGGTGATATTCATTCCCCAGTGGAAAACCAGTCAAAGAGTGTGAAGAGACCGTTGTAGAATCATTGCCCTTCATCTTTGCATGTTGAATTCCAATGGCTCCTTTTAAGTCCAACTCCATGAAGCATAATTATGGAATCTATTAATTAGAGTCTCAGAGACCATCTGCTGCACATGAAAAAGAATCCAGTCTGCTATGGAAATGAGAAGTGCTTCCCCAGCCTTCGTTTGAAGACCCCTAGTGAAATCATCTCCCAAAGCAGCCCAGTCTACTTATGGATAACTTGTTATTAGGAAGATTTCCCTACATCTAACCCATGCTGCTCCTAGCTCTGCCCTCTGGGACCAAGCAGAGAAAGTCTGATTGGATACATACATGGTTATCCCCTTACTTCTGTCTCCTCCCCCCCAAAAAAAGTCTTCTCTTTTCCAGGCCAGACTTCCCCAGTTTCTCCTCATATGGTATACTTCAAGATTCTTCACCCTTCTAATTGTCGTCCTTTGCATGATGGATAAAACCTGGGGTGTACAAGGACAAAAGGGGAAAAGGGCCTCCTCAAAGGACTTTGTATTATTCTGGGAGCGGGGATACATTGAGACACATAAATACAAAATACATACAATGTAATTTCTTTTCAATTTTTTTGGAGGCGATTGGGGTTAAGTGACTGGCCCATGGGCATGCAGCTAGCAAGTGTCTGAGGCTGGATTTGAACTCAGGTCCTCTTGACTCCAGGGCCAGTGCTCTCTGTTCACTAGACCACCTCGCTGCCCCAAAAATATATATAATGTAATTTCTTTCTTTTTTAGGCAGTTGGGGTTAAGTGACTTGACCAGGGTCACACAGCTAATAAGTGTCAAGTATTTGGTCTGAGGTCACATTTGAACTCAGGTCCTCCTGACTTCAGGGCCGGTGCTCTATCCACTGTACCACCTAGCTGCCCCGTATAAAATGTAATTTCAAGAAGTACAATTAGCAAGGTGATCAGGAAGGGCCTCAGGTAGGAGCTGAGCTGTGCTTTGAAGGAAACTTAGAATTTTACTAGACTAGTAGACAGTAGAGAGCCATTGAAGATTTTTTGAGTAGGAGAGTGAAAAGGTCAGATTTATGTTCTAGAAATATCAATATGGCAGTCATGTCAGTTAACGATATCAAACTCAAATAAAAACAGAGGCCACGAAACCGTATATAAGGGTCTCTATGGGCTGCATATTGACTTAGAAAACCACACATTTT